TCTGCTCTGTCAGTTCCGTATTCTGATTTCTGTTCGGATTTTTGTCTGTTGTGTTTGATGTGGACTCTAAGGATTTTGATTGGAGGTTTGTTGTCTTGCTGAGCTGTTGTAGCTCATCCTTGTTTTCTGCGTGGTTTTCAGGTTCTGGGAAGGGGAAGGAAGTCCGGGAATAGAAGTTCAGAGTCTGATCCATTATAGGTATTTTGTCCTTTTGATTTTTTTACAGTCATGACTTTTCTGTTCTGTTTCTTTCTGTCTAAGCCATGAGCTGTATTTGTATATGATTCTTTTGAGGAAGAAAAAAAAGATAGATGATATGTTCCATTGCATTTGATGTTTATAGTAGCTCTGTGTGCGTCTGTTTCTGTCTGTATGTTTGGAAGAAAGTTCTGAATCAAATTCCAAAGCCATATCCTGGAATTAGTTCAGTCAGTTTTGAATCCGGTCTCACGACCCGATGCGAGCGGGACCCGTCCCGGTCGGGTTGGGTCGTGACACATGGCCACACTTGAGACCTCCCTAACCACTTCCTCCTTTATGCTTGGCTGACCACTCCACTCTTCCTAGACATTCTATTGCCCAAACACCTAGCTCCAATACTTGAAAATAACAAATTAAATAATAACAAAGCCAATACAACACTTTTTAGCTCTCGTAATATCTTTTAAACATGAAAATGTATGAAACATAATACATAAATGATGTAAGTCTTCGTGGATGCTTCATAGCATGAGCTTCATGTGCTCCTTCTCTTGCTCTAATGATAGGGCCACCTTTATGTGCTACGTTAATATTGACCTTCTCTACTGAATCAACAATTACATATATATAGCTTTTTTTGCAATATTTATAGGATTAATCTCTATTGGTTTGTGAATACTAGAAGAAACTCTAGGATCAACCAAGAGACATAATAAGTAACTCCTTTAATTAATTCAAAATCAATTTCAAGTTTAGTTTGTTAAAGATGGCTTTACTTACAACATCACTTCAATATATTCATGCTTTTTTGCAAGGCTTAACTTTCTTATATGTTCACAAGTGTGTGGAAGTAATTTTTACCTAAAAGAGGTCATCTAAATTATTTTTCTTCATAGAAAATAGGCAGCTATAGCATAAGTGTTGAAAGAGTAGACTAGTCATAATACAAATATTTATAATTTTTCTTTAATACTAACATGAATGATATAATTAATTGAATCCGTATGATCATGCAATCATAGCCAATTTGTCAGAGTTCTAAGAGATTTCTTATCTTGTTCTTTTTTGTATCATAAAAAAGATGGGAGTATCTATGAACTAATGTGCACACATAGTTGTCTAGCTCAATCCAATTAGGTTTCCATATGATATTAATTGAATTTACCAAGTCACGAACCTTAATCCAACTCGATATTCACCAAAGCTTAAATTGCTAAAAGTAACATTAAAGTCACTCAAAGCTTCAAGTCATCCAATGGCACATCTTGTCAAGTCACCAATAGAAAATCCCATCAAAGAAATTTGTTAAAAGTTGTCAAAAGCAATAAGCTTACTTGTCCAAGAGAACTCATCAAAAGAATTTGTCCAATAAAACTCGGCCTCAATTGATAAGGCTTCGAAAGCCACCAAATAGTTAGAAAGTTATCAGCCAATCACATTTATGTATCTTATAGCAAAGTTTTATCAAGCCTTTATATATAATTTTTTTGTATAATTATTTGATTTTATCTTTCATATAACATTGAATCTCATCCTAAATTTATTAATTTAGGATCGATGTAAATAACACATTCTAAAAAAAAAAAAATCAAATATAATGATCTTCTCGAAGTATCTCTCTCTAAAATTTTCATTTTATATTTCTCTTCAAACTCTAATCTTATTTATAAATAGAATTTTAATACCTCCCCCCAATAGTTATAGTTTTTTTTTATATATAATTAGGCCAATTAAGTAAACTCATATGTGCATCACATATGAAAATTTAGGGGTGTCAATATTTGACACGATCCAAAAATCCGACTCGAAGCCGACCCAAAAATCTTGGATTAGGGTCAACTTATTTGTGAAACTGGTTGAGTTTGAGTTCAACAAACTGATCCGTTTCAAAAATCGGGTTGGGTTTGGATTGACCCGGAAACACAGAAATGACCCGGAATGACACATCTAAACTCGATGATCGCATCTTCCCGCATATGTTGCCCGCGTCGAGTACCCACACTGCTCACCGTCTGCCCGCGCTGAGTCGCATATCTTCGCATGAGTTATCGGTCACGTTGTTGTTGCATGTGTTATGTCGCATCTGTCATTGCTCCGCACCACCGCTGTCGCTGGAGCCGTTGTCGCTGTCGTGTTTGCAGGTATGATTGAGTCAACCTGGTAACCCACGCAGGTTGGGTCCTGGTTGAAATATTTGACTCGTTTGTAAAAACGGGTCAGGCCAACTAGAGGGGTCAGTTCCGAGTTCGACCCGAACTCGACCCATGATCCGATTTTGATAGCCCTATAAATATTATAGATTGACCACCTCTTAGTTGATGATCAAAACTCCAAATCAAATGCGTACAGTTTTAGATCTCAATATCCTGTGGAAAAAAGAAGTCAAAACATGACGGTGCAACGTGTTTTCCAAAATAAGATAGCCCAATTTGTGTTGTTCATCTTCAGGACAAGAAAACGCTGTTTGCTGTCCTGGCAGGCGCAGTCATCATACCATGCGCATTACATTTTACGTGCCGTTTACGCCTCTTCTTATTCTTCAGCTCCTCCACTGTATCTCATGGCCCATCCCTCTCAGCTGCCGCCGGCCTTCCACCTCTGCTTACTCTCTCTCTCTCTCTCTCTCTCTCTCTCTCTCTGCTTTCTCTAGATGGAAACATATAGTATAATATCTTCTTCCTCCTCTACTTGTTGCGCTCAGCACAACTATTCTCCTGGCCATCTACAACCTCTCACAGCTGAAGCGATCCAGATGAATAACACTTACGAGGGTCTGTTTAGAGCTACAAAGAATTACCTTCAAAGTGATCAGAGCCATATCAGCTCGACTTCTGAGCTTTCTCATGAAGTATTGGAGGCAAAGAGCATGGTTGTGGCTCTAAATAGTGGTGAGTATAGTGCAATTACTTCCGAGCACAAAAGTCTTAAGATGGATACTGGTGATGATATAATTGACCATCATAGAAATGGTCATAAGAAGAAGGCCATATTTGATGTGGAAGGTGATGATGAAGATGATAAAGGGAGGAATGAAGTTAGTGGTGGGAAGAAGAAGGGAGAGAAGAAGGTGAGAAGGCCACGCTTTGCTTTCCAGACCAGGAGTCAGGTTGACATCCTCGACGATGGTTATCGTTGGAGGAAGTATGGCCAGAAAGCTGTCAAGAACAACCATTTTCCAAGGTATATTCACCTCTCTGATTGAGCATCATCCTTCTATAAGGTTTGAACTAATTAATTCAAGAGCAGGGATATTCAGTCCCACACATGCGTTATTCTGAACTGTTTATATGGTTTTCAGCTTTCCTGATCTTCTCGGAGCAAAAATGTGCTCCGGTGACCACCATAATTGTTCAGCTTTAGCTACTAATTAGCTTAATTAACCTACTGAAGCAATGAAAAAAGAAAAAAAAATGATTCAGCGAGTACTGAATCAATTTAAATCAAGTAGGTATTCATGGCAGGTTATGCATTTCCATATCTATCTATTTATTTCCATACTCATACTGAATTTGAAATAATTTTTTTCATTAAGTTATTTTGAGTTTGCATAATTGACACAGCTGAAGCTTCATCTTTCAAATTTTGTGACCCTCTGCAATTTGCTGTTCAATAACATATATGAATATATATATTCACACTTGGCTTCATTTTGCATCATTTTTTTTTTTTTTTGGTGATTCTTATTATCTCCTCTTATAAGATTAGAGTTTAACTATAAGACACAGTAGAAGACAATTTCTTTTTTGTATTTGTGGATAGCTACTACTTGCAGGCGATTTTGTAATTATTTTACCCCATGCATATTATGCACATTTAATGAACTTGGCTCTATTACAGTAGGTAATCCACATTGAAAACATTAAAAGTTTATATTCAAACTACTATGACTAGTTAGTTTGATCAGAAGAAGTTGCTTTAATGACTTTTCTTCTTCAAAGAAACTCATTATATATCAATTTAATTTTAGAATATTATGTTACTTAAATTTAGGGTCCTTTTAATATGGCTGTAGCTTCTTTTAAGTGATTGTAAAACTACTGTAGAGAAAGCAATTTTTCTGAAAGTTGTCATAGAAATAATTTTCGAGTACAAAAATTTTTTGAAAGCAATGAAAAAATAGTGATCAAACAAAAACTATGATTACAATCTACAAAAACAAAACGATAAGAAAGTTGTCCCAAACTAAATCTTAATCTCTTGACTATATAAAATTGATCAAACTGATCTTTTGAGGATTAAATTAGAATTAATTTGGTGAAGTACTCTAAAAATTAAATTAGAATATCACAGTAAATGTATATATGTTCTTGAAATCATGAGGTGCATGTATTTCATTCATAGTATGAGAATCTTTGACTGGTAAAAGATAAGTCGTTTCTTCCAGTTTTTCATTAAAGATAAAGGGACATCTTCTTATAACTTGACATATGGTTTGTAACAAGACATGTGACCAAGAAAGTTAACCGGTATTTCAAATTTAGACTTTCTAGAATCGCAGATCCTATTGCTAGTCAAAGTTTCAAACTTTGACACACAAGCTATTTACAATGTAATATTTGGTTGCTTGTTCATGCCGAATAGAGCTAGCCTGGAAAGCAAGTAAAAGCTAAGAACATCCTAAAAGCTCAATTATATATTCTTGAATTTGGTATGCATCTTATCAGTTAGGTTTTTATGCTCAATATATATTTATATAGAAGTGAGTAACATGCAATATTTGTGCTTGTCAAATGAATATATTTTCATGCATGCTTATGGAGGGAGATATTATTCTATGTGGTCATCGGATTTTTCGTAGGCGAATTACGATGTGCCACATCACGCTCTATTCACGTCAAAAAAATAATGCAGAGCATTCTCATTCGCCTCCAGACAGGGTCCGTGACCGCATAGAATAATTTCACCTATGACAGACTTGGGCTTTGTTTGGGACGGCTTTCTTATTGATTCGTAAAGCTATTTTTCAATATAAAAATCTCTTGAAAAAAGAAAAAAAATAGTGATCTAAAGTTATCCCAAACGAAATCTTAACAGCTGTTCTCTGTATATATTCCATGATTAAATGTCTACTTCAACAAGGACAATCTTGAAATAAATGTGAATAAAGTCACTTAGACTTTGAACAAAGAAAAAAGAACTGCATATCGATCATTATTCTTTCAGCATATCATTATTTAAAGCAACTTTGATTATCATTAAATATATAACCACAATTAAGCTCTAATAGTAAAATAATTTATGTTTGTGAAAAGACAAGTGTTCTTTATGCTTTGATATAATTAACTTGTTTAATTATCTTGTAACAGAAGCTATTACCGTTGCACGCATCAAGGTTGCAGTGTTAAGAAACAAGTTCAGAGGCTATCCAAAGATGAAGAGGTTGTGGTTACAACATATGAAGGGATTCATACTCATCCTATAGAAAGAAACAATGACAACTTTGAACAAATTTTGAATCAGATGCAGATTTACAGTAGATTTTCATAGATTTGCATTTGAATGCCCCATGATGAACAAAATTGGAGTCCACCTTCACCTTCACCTTCAAGTCGCCTTCTTCCTTTGTTTTTTTATTTGTAAATTAAGGACTCTTGAATCTTGTACTGCTAGCACTTTTCAATTATTTAAGTGAAGCCTGTGTAATTGTGCATGATTAAAGATGATAAATATATATATCATAGACTGCTAAATTTATCTTTCTCAAGATCTCTCTCCCTCTGCTTTTTCTCCTTATATTTTTGCATGTTTGTGCTTCAAAATTGGAGATAAATAAAAGCATTTAACATTCCATTAAATACGCAAAAACTGAACATGCTAAGCAACAGTAGTAAACTGTAAATTCAAACGTTATCAAACGTTATCAAAGGCCAAGCAATGGAAGAGCTACTGAATTTGATCCAGGTACAGTAAATTACCCACAAAAACATATTGAGAGAGCAAGAGAGAAAAGGGAGTGAAATTTACAAGGGTTGCGAAAGCTGAGGTGAGATATACGTGGCTGCTTGATCCACTAAGGCTTCGTTTGGGACAACTTTTTTGCTGCTTTTTAAAACAACTTTCTAGTATAAAAATTTCTTGAATTAAAAAATTTTGTACTAAAAAGCTATTTTATAAAGCAGTAAGAAAGCTGTCCCAAACAACCCTAAGAGAAAAACTGCTACTATCAAGCACTGTGGAAATACCTCTTTTTTATAGTGATTAAATGTTTAAATTTAATATATGCTTACATAAATTATGACCAACATTAAGTGCAAGAAATCTAGCTAGTAAAATGAGGTTTGATATCTATTTCATTTATGTTTTATCCTATGCACGATTGTTGAAAAGAGATTGGAATGCATTATTTTTATGTGAGAAATTAAAAAAGGGAAAACAATTATGGGAATTTTCTTAGTTCAGCAACTTTATCTAGTATGAATAAATTACATGTTCTCACTTTTTTTCTATAATTTTGAAGGCATTAATACTATGCAAAATGATTGACTTATAGTAGTTAGAGCTTTGCCCTAGCCACCATTCTCCCTCTTCGCTTCGTTGCTTCCGCGCTGGACTCAGGGAAGTATTATCTTTTCTGCTTTTCGTTTTTGGTTTCTTGTTCGTTCTGCTTTATGGCGCCTCTTAAGGATCCTGATTTTTTGGTTGCTTCTTCCCTTTCGTTTAAGGAGGCACTTGCTGGTTCGTCACCTTATTCTACTGTTTTTCCCGAACTTAAGATCTCTTCTCATCACGGCTTGCCTGCGTTGTGGATTTCGGAGGTTGAAATCCTATCGTTGGCTGCTCCATTCGAATTTGCTCTAGTTGGGAAGTTTCCTGGCCGTAGACCTTCCCTTGAGGCCATCAGGAGTTTCCTTTTTAAGCTTAAACTTAATGGTGAGGTTTCTGTCACCGTATTGAATCAACGTAATGTGTTGATTAAGCTTTTTAATGACCTGGATTACTGTAGGATCTTTGCTCATAGGTCGTATTTTGTGAGTAATTGTTTCATGAAATTGATTAAATGGTCTCCCTCGATGGATATTGACAATGAATCCCCTGTGATTCCCATATGGATTTCTTTTCCTAACCTCTGGCCTCACTTGTTTGCTACTCGGATTCTTCATGGATTAGGTTCAATTTTTGGCAAACCGTTGAAAACTGATAATGCTACATCCACTGGCTCGAGACCGTCTGTTGTGCGTGTTTTGGTTGAACTGGATGTGTCCAAACATTACCCGGACAAAATTTGGATTGGCTCGGATTGCCTTGGATATGTTCAAAATGTGGTTTTTTAAGATTTTCCTGAGTACTGTGCTCATTGTTCTGCTTTGGGGCATCCGGCTGTAGGATTTTGCACCCTAACCTCGATTCTTCGTCTCCTCCTTCTAATTCTCTGGGTGCTTGTGTCCCTACGGAAATTTCGTCGAATTTGGCGGTTAATTCTTTACCTGAACCCTCTTCTATTGTTGTTGCTCTTCCGGATCCTAAAATTATTGATTTGGTCTTGGGGAAGGATGTTGATAAGGTTGGGGTTAATGTTCCTTTTGTTGTCATTTCTGAGGTCATTGGATCTGTTCCCCCTCTCTCTGCTGTAATTGATAGTAGCCCTATTCCGAATGCTAGAGATTCGGAACATGAGAATACTGGGTTGGATCAAGCCGTTATTTCTTCTGTGGAGTTGGCTGTGTCGACTCCTGTTCAAATTGTTTCTGTTGTTTCTAACCCTGCTATTTTGCCTCTTGATGTGGAAACTCATTCTAATACTGGAGATTTTGCTGCTCATAACCCACGGGTTTGTGTTAGTGATGTGGGTGTTAAGAAATGTGGGGTCAATTTGGGGCCTGTTTTGTCTTGCCCTGTGCGTGCCACTTGCGGTTTGGTTGTTGAGCAGGTGGAACCTATTCGGGATTCTTTGCTTATCGAGAAGCCTGCTGGTTTGTCTCCTATGGTGCCTTGTTCTCTAGTTATTTTGACTGGGGGATGTTTCTACTTCAAATGGTGTCACTATTTCCGATCAATTAGTTGAAGTCCCGGTTAATTCAGGTGCTGAATTGGTTATTCCTAACTCTTTTGTGGATGTGCCTGTGAAATTAATAGAGACAAATGCTATGGTTTATCATGTGGGTGATAATTCTGGGATGGATGTACGTTTTCACCTTGATTGGCTTCACTGTTCGTCGGAAGCTGAATCTGATTCCTCTTCGGATCATGTGGTTCAGATCCTGGACATGATTTCAAAATGGTTCGTGACCGTCCGGTTTTTGACGGTTCTCATGGTATACCTCGTGGGAGAGGACGTCGGGGTCGTTAGTTTATTTGGCTCCTTCTGTACACTGTGACTGGTTTATTTCAAGCTGATTCGTCCGAATTTTTGGTTGGTGTTGGTTGTGACAGGCGATGATGTGGTCAGGGCTCGCTCCTTGATGTTATGGCTCCTAACAACCTTTGGTGTTTATTCCTTGGCTGGTCGGCTGGTAGCGACGTTTATCACCAAATTAGAGGGTCGGTGCGTGGTTTCGGGGAGCTGGAAGTCTTGACCAATTACTGAGCCTAGTTCGTCTGATTTATTGTATTTTTTTTTTTTACTTTTACTTTGATTTCAGCATCTTGTAACCTCTTTGTTTGTTTTTAATATAATCTCTGTTTTTGTTAAAAAAAAAATAGTAGTTATTGTTAATAATTATGGTGTTAAATGATTGGCCAGCATACTTAGAGATAGCATAGGTGTGGAAGAGAAAAATTTTATCGGTCTTGATGGAGATAGTTATAGTCTTGCAAATGTAATCCTTGACCTAGCTGCTAGGATGGTCATTCACAACATAAATTAAGTCTTCATTTGGGACGTTTTTTTTTTTTTTAATAAAAATAAAAACCATAAAACCTCCTACGGGTTAATTAAGTAAAAATAATATAAGTCCTTAAAAGATTCAGTAGCTCACTACTGCTCCAAAGAGCTACAAGAAAAAAATAAGTAAAAAAGAAAAAAACTGAGCTTTTGGACCTTATTATAATACAAGCCAAACATATAAAAAAAAAAAAAACTCAGAAAAAAGAAGAGAGCAAGAGGTCAACACCCCAACAAAAAAGAAACGTTGGATCCAAAGAACATAAATAGGAAGCTGCACGACATCAGAAACTTGACCTACAAAAGGTAAAAGCAATAGAACATAGTCAAGATAGGATTCCAAAATTAAGCACATACCTCCTAGAAAGAAACAGAATCCCCTAAAGGCAAAACTGATCAGCCACCCATAAGCAAAGATCAATAATCAGACCCCAAACCTTGAAAGAAGAAACTTTCAAAGAGAACAAAATGTTTCTTATTACTTTAAGAAACAGTAAAAAAGTCATCTCAAATGAAGCCTATAACTTAGTGTTAAAACCATCGATATCCCTATAATAATGTTGAAAGCTCTTTTAAGGATGCTTTACCAAAGCCTTCATTGGCTTCTTAAGGGTCATAGCTTGCCATTCATCCAAAAATTTTGGAAATTGTTAAACTAAATAAGGCCCCCTAATTTATCTCTCTTCCAACATTCATGTGAAAAAGCTTGTGTCCATTCTTCTGCGTTGGTTATATGATTATGTTTGAGATAGACAATTCTCTCTCTTTTAGATTGATTTCTTAAACGTAATGATTTGGTACAATCTATTGGAAAACCTTCTCACCCTCCTTGATTGGGTCCAAATTAATGACTATTAGTTCAAGAACTTTAACAATCCCTATACAAACATTTTTATCAACTTGTCTGACCAAGTAGTACTGCTTCCTTCATAGAGAATATGCACAACTAGTATATTTTTGAGTTGCTTCATGATATGCTAGCTAGCTAAAAATGAGATTCAGCCATGCAGAACATTAAGGTAAAGATGATTGTCCCATCATAAGATCAAGATCAAAGGTTCAAAACAAGGACTAAGAGGGCACAATCAGCCATACATGATGAAAAAATCCCCAAGGTTTGAACTCGCTTTTCCTCCAAATTAAGTTATATTCTTAGTTCATTATGTCTTGTTCTTCTATGTCATGTTCAATAGAATCAACTAAGATTTTGTTTGGGACAATTTTTTTATTGTTTTTTAAAAGAGTTTCATTACAAAAATACTGTTTTAATGAGCAATAAGAAAGTTATCGTACCAAATGAAGCCTAAGTTTTTATAGAAGATAACAAAAGCTAATTTTTTATTGATAATTTCATTATATTATATATTCTATAAGATCTTGCTATATTTGAATATACTAAAATATATATTTCATCACCAGATTTACTATTAAATTTTCTTGATGAATCTTTTTCATGATTAACAATATTTTTATATCTAAATCCAAATATACGTACATAATCTCAGTCTTAGATTTTGATCTCTTCTGAAAATAATTCATAAGTTTTCTTATTCAAGAAGTTGAAGTCCAAAGCTTCGTTTGAGATGGTTTTTTACCACTATTTTTTTATTTCTTTCATGAAAATTTTGTACTTAAAAGCTTCTATAGAAAGCAGTAAGAAAAATGTAAGAAACTGAAACAAGGAGGAAGATCTTGTTTGATCTTCTTGCAAGATCAAGAGAGGGAGAGAGGAGGGAGAGGAGAGGGGGAGAACCGTGAGCCAACTTTCTCAGATTTTCATTAATTCTCTTGGCTTCTTTCCTAATACAAGCTAAAGCCTATTAATAGGCACAAAAGCAACACCTACAGTTATACAAATAGCTACACAAAAGCAAACCTAAATCTAGGACTAATACCTAACAAAAAATATATTAAAAGACACATAAAACTAAATCTACTATTTACATAACATGCAGTAAAAATAGTTTGCTCAACTAAATTCTTCACTCCTAAATTGGACATGTGAATAAAAATCTACTATCAATCGAAGGCCACGATCTACGCATGAACGATTGAGAGAGATGGGAAGAGGGAGAGCCGCGCACGAGATTCCAAAGAGAAGGGATTTGAGAAGGAGAAGCGAAGGTTGAAGAATAAGACCTTGCACTACAGGAAATTCACTAATAACCGGCGGCCAAACCGCCGGCTAAACCTCCATTGTTAACGGCGGCCATGTAATCGACGGTCAAGGCCGCCGGTAACAGCTGAATTTCCTGTAGTGTTGCAAATAGCAGCTGTGAAAATCGGTGCTAAAAGCTGATTTTGGCAGGGGTTTTCAAACCGCCCCTAACAAGTGCTACGAAAAATCATATTTTTTTAGTAGTGAGGGATAGAGAGAGAAGATTTTTTTTTTTGTATGCTAGAACAAGATTTTGAAAGAAAATTTAATTTAGGTCTTAATGAAGTATTCATTCTTCCTAATTTTGAAATATTATTTCATTATTCAAATCATCATAATCATTTTTCAAACCATTGTACTGCATATCTAATTTTAATATTTTTTTCTCAATTTTTATATTCTTAAAGAAAATCATAAAATGCATCATTTAATTCTTCATATGACATTTAATTAATTTTCCCATTCTTGAGCTTTGTTGTCCTCCTCTCTACACAGAAGGCATAGATGTTCCTGTTCTAATAAATTTTTTTATCATGAACTACTGCATTCACAATCAGATTTTAACCCATAGTGCTTTCTTCCTTCTCTCCTTATCTTCTTCCTTTTTCTTTTTGCTTCTCCTTTACTTTCTTCTTAGAGTCTCCTGCTCTTTCATCGTCGGTGCATGTTCATATCTTGAAAGAGAACCAAGCAATCAATCGAGTGAATAATAAGTAGAAATTAAGATCATTAGATTTCATCATTCTGAGTACTTCTAGACGCCAATCCAGAGACAAACAATAACGATGAATATTTTGGATTAAATCAACATTCTTATATATTTTTATGTCTAATGACTTTAATGAGTTTACAATTTTAATAAATCTAGTATGCATTTCACTAATTAATTCATTAAATTTCACTAGAAATAATTTAAATTCATGTGCAAGCATGTTCATATTTGCATTTCTAATTTCATTATGTTAATCCCTTCCTATATTCTTATGAACTTTTCTCACTACAGGAAAATCACCCAAAATCGACTATTTTCCTGTAGTGTCTCATATGTTAATAGCAATTGCCAACTTTGAGATTCTCATGTGATCATTGAATTTTAGGCTTTCTATGGAAAAGTTTTAGATTACTGTTTTTTCTCAAATTTCAAGAGATTTTTGTACTAGAAATAACTTTACAAATCAATAGCAAAGCCATCCCAAACCAAACTTTAAAGTACAAAACAAGCCTCTCATTTTCAAAATTTATTTTGTCAAGTTCCATCTCACTAGAAGTGCATTCCAAAAATAGCTTATTTATAAGAAAATAATCTTTTGTGTTTAATAAAATTAGAGTCATTAATTATAAATTATTACATAGTTTCACCAATCATTCTAAGGCTTCGTTTGGGATGGCTTTTTTACTACTTCTTGAAGCAATTTTTAAGTAAAAAATTAAAAATTTTATACTAGAAAACTGCTTTAAGAAGATGAAAGAAAGCTGTCCCAAACGAAGCCTAAGTTATGTATTGCAGTAAGAATAAATAAAATTTAGCATGTCATGAAAATATTTCAATTAGTTCGTTGGATTGCTTAAAAAAACTGATCGAATAGATAATTTACTATCATATAATTTATGCATAGCTCTAAAAATTTGTATTCGAGTTAGGTTTAAATGCACAGAAAACATATTATTATAATGTTACAATCTTTAATGTTATACTGTTATATTTTATATTTTCAGACATTTAACTTTGCATTCTTTATAATTTGGACAAGTAAACTTATACTAACCATACTGCCCTTTCTATAAAAAAAAATTAACTAAATTTTTTTTGCTAAAAAACTGTTTCTAAAAGCATTAAGAAAGCTATCCCAAACGAAACCTTAGGTTTCATTTAGGATAGCTTTCGTACTATTTTATTTTTTAAAAATAAGCATAATTTTTATTTGACCTTTTTTTATTTTTTAAAAAAATTCTTGTGTTTGGAAGATATTTTTCAAAATAATTTTTAAAATTTTACTTTCTCAATAATAATTTTATAAGCACTTTTAAAAAAAAATTATAGACATCCCAAACAGTCCTTTTAGTTAAGGCTTCTAGTGATTTTAAGGTGATGAAGACATAATATTATGGGAGCGACTACAACCATCTGATGGAGAAGGGAAAGCTGAACTAAGGGGTGATGTCCTCGACAAATATTAGAGTGATTTCTTTATATCAATTATCAATAAAATTTTACCATTCAAAAAATTTTGATTAACCATTTTCGATAAAATATTTTAGTTTGTTATGATATTTTATTAAAATTTTAATTTTCTTTTATAATCAGCTAAATATAAAAATAACAAAAAATGAATGAATTTTTTAAAATAAAAAATTATGCTATTCTTTATCACAAATAATGTACCAAACTTCCATATTTCACATCCAACCAATTAAAAAAATAATAATTCCTCCCATATTTATACAGATAATCAGATTGTTTTGAGTGTTTTAAATACATTACATCTATTTTTTATATTTACAAAATACTTATAACCAAACAACCCCTTAGAATATTTGAAATAATAAAATGCCCCCACAAGTTGATATACCATGGTTTTTGAAATATTTTTCTACTTTTGGCTGACAACTAGAGAAAGAAAGAGTACCAAAATAGCAATATTGCTTATAATTGTTGCATTAGTGATAAGAAATTGATGACCATCCACGAATTAACCTATTTTCAATACCTAAGTTGAATATGTAGTAGCATTCTCATACAATTTAGGGAATTTGGCTAAGCAGATTGTTCAAAAAATATGCAAAGGAGATTGACCTCATTGGCATTACAAAGAAAGTTCCTATAATAGAATACAATTGAGCTAAATATAATACAACAAAAGATTTTCTTTAACGTTAAGAGGCTTCTCAGGCCACTTATTGGAGTAGGTAACATCTTTGTAACGAGAGATTATTACGTGTGGAGTCCAGATAAAAGAACCGTTCGATTTTCTTTAGTGTACACAGTAAAAGCAAAGTAAAAACGCAATTATTATTTATCACTGTATTTTTACTGTGCTTTTGCAGTATACACTCATAAAAATCGGATACAGCTTCGATCCAGACTTAATCGCTCCTTTGTAACTCAAGTTTACACATACTTTGCCTTTATCTTTCCTGAGTCTCTCCTCCTGTGCTTCTTTTGATTTTTTGACTTCTCTTTCCTTCTCTTGCTTTCAGACTTTTCCCTCTTCGATTTCCTCTTTTCTTCATAAGGATCCTTCTCTGATTTACACTCATCAGTTGCCTGACGCATCGAATAACCAACCCCTATATGTGCAGGGTTGGATTTAAGGAAATGAGGCTTTTCTGGACCAACAAGAATACGGCGCTTCCGTTCCTCCCCAGCCCTTTTGGCAGGGCTAGCAGAAGGTTCATCAAGATCAGCAGATGTTGATGGAAGATATGGACCAGGCTCGTCCATTCTACAGCCAACAGATCCTCTTCCTCTTTTCACCCTGGTAAATTATTCATCAGCAAAAAAGAAGCAAATATGAAAATATGTTAATGGCATGACAAAAACCTTGAATGCAGGAATTCCTCAATGTCATCATCATGAAGACCAGCAAAGCCTCTGGAAAGAGATTCTTCAGAATAAGGTTTACTGGGTGAACAATGGCGTGAGTGATCTCCCTGATCATTTTCATGTCTGGTTTGAGAACCTCCAGATGGTGAATTTATCTTGCGGCATTTATCTAATGAAGTCACCAAAGCAGAATTTTTTTCAAGCCAGGGCTTCGAATTTTCATGTAAACAGCCATTTCTCACATGCATGCCTGTGCGGTTGTCTTTTGATCCATGCCGTTGCTTAGCATCCAATTCACGTTCCTTCTCCCTTGCACGCCACATTTCGCTAATTTCAGCAGCTCGATTAGCTGAAATGAAAAGGGCAGAAAATGTACATCGCTTTAAAATAAAAGATAAAAAGTAGATAACCGATGCAACAATAAAGAGTGGGAGAATCAGATCAGGTTCTCGAAGTTTAAGGCGCATTTCAGTTTGCTCCTCAATTTCAAAAGCCCTATATTTTGGATGAATTATTCTGTGCGGACACCGGACAGGAGAACCGTCCGATGTTTTCTCACTGCATTTTTACAGTAAACAGAAAGAAAACCGGACGGTTCTCTCTAACCGGTGTCCGCACAGAATAATTTCTCTATATTTTGTGTCCTTGGTGCTTTTGGTATCTTACTTAGGTCCTTAGGTCCTCCAACTTGGCTAACAGTTTTCAAAATGACGTCTATAGACTAATGTCAATTAAAATTAACAGTTTTGATCAATAACGTGAATATTAGTCAAATACTAGATATTTTGACATACAAAAAATGTCCTACTAGCCTAATAAAAGAGCAGTGGTTCACCTCCTTATTCACTTCAACAGCATTAGCCTCCTAATTTCATTTATTCAATAACTCCCTTATGATCGTAGTAACATGAAACATACTCATCATCCATAATAACAGTACCAGTACAACCAAAAATTAGCATAAAAGCACTGATAAACATTAAAAAAAAAAAATCATAAATCTAGAAACCTATCAAAGAACTGATTATAAAACTTGAACATTAAACATAGATCATGTCAAAATCATGGTAGTGCTCCTCAAAAACTTGCAAGAAAATATACCTTTGAGACACTAATTCATCGTCATTAAAAAAAAATTCAAAATAGGATATAGTATAAATATATCAGGCAGAATCTTACATGTGGCTGTAAAATTCTGAAAAGATGTTCCAAGTAAAAGAATTTGGTTGTGAAAAAGCTCAGATATTAACATTTCAAATCTTCTTCGAAGCAATGAGGAGCAAATAACTACAAATTGCATCACTTAACCTCTAAATGGAATTTCCACCAATTCATTTCCCAGCAAGAAACGGCTATAAGCATCAGTGTGCTCGACATAGGTAATGAGTTGCAAGTGCAGGCGGAATTTCACCACAATCTATGCTACCGATGGCATCATATATGAGGGCATTTTAGCAATCGATATAATTTCTAACTATTCAATCATGAAATGGGCAATTTGAAGTGCAAAATTAACCTTAAGATTCCACGCTAATAACTTCTAAAAGCAAGGACAAAAGTGAAGGGTGTCAAAAAAAGTAATTTCTTTTGAACAGTATATGCTTTCACATTCAACTATAAAAAGGAGTCACCTACCTTTTGAATGGCAGTTCCAAAAAAACATACTTCAATGTCAAAAAAGCATATTCGTAGAAATCTTTGGGAAAAAAAGGACAGAAACCGGAGAAGAGACTTCAATCCCAATTTATTAACTGTAGCTGAATTGGCATGTCCTAGTCTCCTATGCAATAAATCATCTACCGGTTCATCAGACATTGTCAAAGCTCGGAGACCCAAAAATTATTTACCCATAAAGTTAGAAAGATGCAAGATTCTCCTTCAAAATCTTTGGACACATCTAAATAATGTTATTTCAAAATTCTGCATAATGACATTAGCATTATAATGAAAATTGGAAGACTAACGAGCCACAAACTTTAATACTGCAAGAAATGCAACATTAGGATAATAAGCACTGGGTAGCAGCAGTTCAGTAATTCTGAAGCCTCAATCTCGACTAAGAAAGGATACAATCAACCATGCTTGTATAGTGAAGATAAGAACCGAAAGGCCCTCTAATGAACAATTGAATGACAACTAACAAAAACTGATGCAGCGTTAGTTTGAATAATAATTCCCAAATCTGATAGTAATATTTATCAGGCAAAAAGGAACAGGGAAAAAAATTGCATGGATTAATTTGAAGAAAAAAACAGAACTTTGGTTAATTTTATAGGTAAAACCACATATTAAAAGACTGATAATCAATATTAACAACTTAAATGGACAATCCTCTTAAATTTTCTATCGCCTGCTGTGTAGAATTGAGAATTAATTTTTACATAAATAATCTACAAGGACATTTTCCTGTACCTATAAGTGTTAACTCAGAACCACGCAACACAGAAAATATCTTAACTGAGTAAAAATTTAAATTGAGCATATAAATATTTCATGAATGAAGAATGTGGATTTATAATGCTGAATCCCAAATGTCTGGATGACGCATGTTTTTGAAACATAGTTGACTAGGTTTGTGGTTCAAAGGCTAGCTCAAGCTTATACAACCTAAGTTATGGATGAGTGCTAATTCCAACTTCATACGTTGGCTTGAGTTTTTCTTAGTAGTAATTATAGCATCTTATCCTGTTGCTTTGGTACACGGAATTTCTAGATTTTTTTTTCTTCTAAAGTTTAATACAGAAAATGAGTATTTGTATATCAAAAAAAAGGAATGCTTCACTTAAAAACAAGGTCTTGAAAAAAAAAATATATATATAGTGTTAAAAGGTAAAAATATAGAAACAAATAGAAAATCGAGGAATTTCAACAGGCTGAAGAAGTCCCCTTCAGCCTCTTAATTGCCGTTAATACTGCACTATGGAGTGAGGGGAATAAAGGGACGTTAATCAAGCTTCAGGCAACATAGAAAAGACAGGTAGTTGATCAAGACGGTGCTAGTGAATATCTAGATCTAAGGGTGTGAGCAAAAATAGCATCTAGATGGAGTTTTGACCTGAAAAGTTCATGATAATCACAGAAAACGGTTAAGTTAATCATCACATAAATTAACAACAGAAATGAGGAGCAAAATCGATGTCAGGGAGATCTACAGGAACATCCGGACATTCTACATGAAGATAACTGGATTGGTCATGACTCCGGAAATTTAAAAAATATAGCCGTTTGGATGAGACAATCATAAAATTGATGACAAAAGATGAGCAGATTTGACATGCATCATTTAGCTGTACTAAAGTTGAAAAGTTGTTAACCTTCTTAGATAAGTTGTAAAGTAAATTGGAACTTCAAAGTGGATTAGGTATGAAGAAGACACATAAAGGTAAATTTTTTATGTCCATATGAGTTACTTGTTGAAATTTGAAAAGCTATTGAAACTGAAGTGACTTAGTTAACAACCTTTTCAATAAAATTTTGAAGAATAAAATGATGTCAAATAATTGAAAAAGAAGCATTTTAATACCGATATTTAAGAATAATGGAGACTTTCAAGATTGTATATATAGGAATTAAATTTAAGGGGCATAGAATGAAACTTTGAGAGAGAATAATGGATTATACACTAAAAATATATATATGTTAAATTTGAAAAATCAAATTTGGTTTCATGCCAAGAAGATTTACCATGCAAGAGATTTTTATATTCAAACAATTAATGAAATAAGCATACAGAACATAGAAAGGACACTCATATGATTTTTATTGATTTGAGAGGACATGATCGAGTACACCACCAATATTATCAAAGGTAAGTTAAGTGCTCACCTAAGCACACCAAAGAGATGAGGCAAGGAGAGGCTCCAATGCTTGAACCAGCTCCCAGGTGAGTAGTATCACAAAGGCACCACCTAGGCGAATGCCTTGGTGAAAGGAGCTAGGCGCCCATGCACTCAAGTTTGTGGTGCAAACTTTTTTTAATTAATATTTAAAGGATGTACAATCATATCATAGGAAGGAGGGCTACAAATCTGATAATGGGGAAGAGGGAAGGGATGATGAAAAAAAATGAAATAGATAGTAACAAACATTAGATTAACCTTAGGCCATTAACAACTTATGTATTTATCTACCTATTTAAACTTGAAACTTAACTTTTGATGCTTGTGGGAACTTTATTTTAGACAATCTCTTTAACAAAATTTGTCATTTTTTTATTTGAAACTACACAAAAACTTGAAAATGCAAATTTTACATTCTACATTTATATATTTAATTGTGATGATTATTAAATTATACTCTCCAAAAGTCATTCTCATAATTTTTTTATTTTTAGCATCTCACTTCGCTTGAGTAGTCTCCTTAGATGGTTTAGACAAATAAAATATTGGCTTTCCGATGACTCGGTTAAGAGTAGATGTCTTGGATTTGACCTATATAAAGAAAGGTAGAGGTAGACCTAAAAAGACTTTGCTAGAAAATATTTGAGATGACCTTTTTTTATTAAATTTAAATGAAAATTTGACACTTAACAGGACACAATAAAGAAAAATGATTCATGTAGCCGGACCCACATAGTGGGATAAAGGCTGGTGGTGGTGGTGGTGTTATTGTTGTAGTACTTTGCTTAAGTGCCAAGCCTTACATTTAGAACCTTGGGCATTGGGCAACTATGCCACCTTATAGATGCCTAACACCTTTAATTACAATGAATATCATGGTTTAAAAAAATGATCCACCCCTTAAACTAAGGAACACTGAGCTTTGAGGCATACACCTCATTATCCCTGATGAGGTTTATGCCTTTTATCTATGGCATATGCCTCAAGGCCTTTAAGACAAATAACTCAAATGAGTTAATATATAATAAAAGTCATTTTATTATATTATATAATAATATAGTATTAATCTATATTATATTATACTTATATACTTTTCATTTTATTTTTAATTTGTTTATTTTCTTGAATATTTTTTATTTATTTTTTACTAATTCTTCTTTCCATTATTTTGTTTTAGTTTTAAGTTTAAATTTTTTAGTTTTAAGATTTAATTAAGTTAAAATCTCTTATTTTTATTTTACTTTTTATTGTCTTATTTTAATAATGTTTTTTTTTTAATTATTTACAATTTTTTAATATTCTTTATTATTATTATTTTAGTTTATTAGAATGGATGGTGGCACTAGAAGAAAATATTCAACTTAAAAATATATCACTCAAGTCATGCCCAAAAAAGAAGCAAAAAAAAGGGGATCTAATTACATAAAATATAAATTTTGTAATGCAAATTACTTTAGGTGCTATGAAATTGAAAGATCACTTAGGTTGCACACATCTTAGTATTGGAGAA